TAACTCTCAAACCAGAAGTCTCTGTTTTTTATTTCCTGGTAGAGGGGAAATCCTCTTTCCCTCCTTGATTTATAACTGATTTGACAGGCACTTGGGGACATTTGCCACATTTGTCAGCAAAGCGGTGCTGACTTAAGTTGGGTTGAGGGTGTTACCCACCTCATCTCCAGGTTTCTGGAATGCCTCTTGTATGCAATCATGTCCACTGTCAACCTGATCTTAGGAAGCTGACCCCGGGCCAGGATGCGCTGGGGACCCAGAGATGGGTTGGAGATAGCACGTCTCTGGGCTGTGGCCTGGGCAGCCTCGGAACACAGAGCTCTCTCACCCCTGATCTCGCCTCTGGGAGGAGAGAGCATGAACCAAGCCTCGCAGCCCCGGGCCACCACAGAGACAGCAAAGCTGATGGGAGTAGACACCTGCACCCCTGATGTCCCAGGGCGACCCCAGAGAGACAGCAGTGCCCTTCTCAGCCCCACAACCTCACACCATGTCCCTGAACCTTCCTAGGTCTCAGGCCTCTGCACTTGAAAGAGGAGACTCATCTCAGTTGGTAGAATTGTCCATAGAGAGTAACAAGATTGTTGCTATAAAAATTGCACAGTAGACACAATAAATGTGAGTGTCCTTCCCAGAGATGTGAAGCAGGTTCAAAGGAACCTGCACTGGTAGGAGATAGAGTCCTTGGTGGGAGTCAAGAAATTAAAGTAATGGAGGGGCCTCAGGAAAGGGGGAAGCAAGTGACAACTGCCCCCCATATTCATTCCCTTTCTTCCTTTTAGTAATATCACTCCAATTCCAGATGGGCACCAAGCTTCCCAGGGCAGGGCGGCATCTTCCAGTTTCCCTTGCGTCTGCAGTGGTGTGACATTAAGGTCTGGCCAGTGGAGTATACTCAGAAGTATATGAAGTTCTGGGTTGTGCATTTCAGAGAATGGAGGCATCCTTCACTTCTCTTCTTTCCTGTCTGATGGCTGGAATGTGGTCATGATGACCGGAGCTGCAGCAGCTGTCTTGTATCATGAGGTGGAGTCTGTGGGCAGAGAACAGCACAGCATGAGGCAAGAAGGAGATGGGTGGGGTCCCCTATGCTGCCTTTCGGTCCTGTGCAACTTGCACTTGAAGAGTCTCACGAAAGAATGACTTGATAGTTTCTTGTTTAAGCCACAGTTATTTTGGAGTTAGAGCTGGTTTCTTCACTAACACAGAGGGCTTCCAAATTGCAGCCGAGGGTCTGGACTCAGGACGATTGAGTACAGGTCCTCTCTGAACGTTAGCGTCTTCGTGTATCAACAAAATAGTGAATATAAAGTACATACATGGATATAGAACATGGCAGCTATTACCATATCCACCCTGCTCTCTATGCATTTGGTGACTAATGTCACAAATGTCCTGAGGCTACAGGCGCTAGAGTTACACAAAGACACCCTGTCACTGCCGCAGAAAGTTTAAGACGTAATCTTCAGACCTTTGAGAAAGTTCACATGTAGGAGGCCCCCACTGGACGTTCAAAGATGGTAAAACAGTTGGGTCAGCAGAAACTTAAATTCCACACAGGCCTCAGTGGGCATCAGATAAGTACACCGAGCAGCCCGCCCTCCCTCCCGCATCTGATCCTCACACTTATCACTTCCCTGTAAAAAGGCAATCCTCTAGAAGAATTTTTAGATCTGCAGTGCATTTTAGAACTTCTTCCCCTCCAAATGCAAAACTCCATTCTGGCACAGCCTGGGAGTAGGGTTTCACATGAGGCTCGTGGGAAGGTTTATCTCTCCAAGTCTTTCTCTATTTCTCAATTCTTGGAAATTCCCCACAATGCGATCAAAATTGCTGCCCCTGTTGGAGCCAGCACCGTGTGCCTCTTCGCCTCATCTCGCCTCCTGCTCTAACGTGGTTCCTGGAGATGGTTCTCAGGCCTCCCTTCACGCAGCCAGGCTGGGCTCTGGCACCAGGGTTCCGCAGCAGTGGGTGCTGAGCAGCCCCTGTGTGCCAGGCACCGTGCTCTGCACCAGGGATACCACCAGAACAAGCCAGACACAGTCCTGCCTACCCCCGTGGCCCTTCAGAGCTCAGGGGCTAGTGTGGGAGAGTGCTAAGTTAGGGTGCTAGATAGAGGTCCCAGGGGCTGCTGGAGCCAGAGGGGAGGACCCTAACCTCCTATGGGGTCAACGAGGGCTTTTCCAAGCTACATTGAGGCCAAAAGGATGAGTGGGAAACAGTCCAGAAAAGGTAGGCAGGGGTAAAGAAGGGCCTTCTAGACAGTGTATCAGTTAGCTTATGCTGCATGACAAACAACCCCCAAACCTCATGGCTTAAAACAACACACACCATTGTTGTTTGTGACTCTGGGTCAGCCAGGTGGTCCTGCTGACCTGGACTCAGCTTGGTTGATCTCTGCTGGGCTCATTAAAGCATCTGTGGTCAACTGGAGGTTTGGCTATTTGGCCAGCTGTGGGCTCAGTGACAGCAGTGACTGAGCCGTGAGCCTCTGAGCTCCAGGGGGCTAGCCAGGGCTTGTACACATGGGATTAGGACTGGCATGGCCTCACTTCCACCACATACTATTGGTCAAAGCAAGTCACAAGGCCAGCGCAGATTTAAAGAGTGTGAGAGGAGCTGAAAAGTTGCACGCAAATGGACATGGCAATGGGCAGGGGTGACAAATTTGGGGCATTTTTACATCCATCTAACACACACACACACACACACACACACACACACACACACACACACACAAAGGAAACAGGAGAAAGCCCAGCTCTCAACATCTAGCCCATTCCAAGAGCCACAGAGGTTGGACTGTGGGGCTGCAAGGAGAAAGGGGCTCCATAAGCAGGATGAAAGAGGTCAAGCCTCTACTCATGGACAGTGGGGAGCTATGAAGGGTGCTAGGCAAGGGAGGAGTGATATCTGATTTCACTTTAGAACACTTTCATGGCCACCACCTCCCTCAATCCAGACTCTGGTGCTGGAGAGTTCCTGGGAAAATCCCAACAATAAAGGAAGGAAGGAAGAATGAAAAATAAAACAAGTTTGTTTTATTTTTTTTTATTTTTTTTTGTATTATTTTTTTTAATGTTTTATTTTTATTTCTAGGAGAGAGAGAGAGAGACAGCATGAGCAGGGGAGGGTCAGAGAGAGAGGGAGTCACAGATTGAAACAGGCTCCAGGCTCTGAGCCGGCAGTCAGCACAGAGCCCGATGCGGGGCTCGAACCCACGAACCGCGAGATCGTGACCTAAGCGAAAGTCGGACGCTTAACCGACTAAGCCACCCAGGCGCCCCAAAACAAGTTTGTTTTAAACTTGTCCCCTTCAAATCCTACACCCTCCTCAGAGGTAACCAATGCTGTCACTTTGGAGTGAGTCCTTTCAGACCTTCTTCTGTGCCTTCACTTATGTGCACATTCACACACACATATACTTGCACACACTCGCACAAATTCTCTCTTCTCAGAAAGGCAGAGCATATTCGACAGACACATTCGGTTCGTTCGTTCATTCATTCATTCATTTTCTTCTTACCTTCTTTCTATCTCTGCGCCCAACGTTGAGCTCAAACTCACAGCCCTGAGATCACGAGTTGCATGCTCCACTGACTGAGCCAGCCAAGCGTCCCTGTGGCTCGTTCATTTTCACTGCTGTATACTACTCCATGTGACTAGACCACTGTTTATTTGTCTGCTTTTCTCCTGGTGGGTAGTTAGGTTGTTTTGAAATTTTGGTGGAATTGCAGCAAGCATCTTTATCTATTGATGTAAGGGTTTCTCTCAGATTTCTACCCAGAGTGCCATGGGTAGGTGTGAATGTATCTTTAGTTATGTTCAATGTAACTGCATTGCTTTCTAGAGTGGCTCCCAGCTTACTCTCCCTGCGGCTATGTGTTTCTTCACGTGCTGGACACCCAGCATCGATAGGTCTAATTTAAGTATCTGTCATTCTACCAGGTGTGAAATACCACATCATCCTTGTTTTAATTCACCTCATCGTTTCAAATGGCTGCAGAGTTTTCTGCAGAAGGGAGTAGTTCAGCCAAGCCTCCAGTGATTCATTTGGAAGTTAGTTCTCTCTTTTCTTTTTTCTTTTCTAAATAACGTAGCAATTGTTTATTTTCTGACTACTGCACTTCTAGGACAGAGAAGCACAATTGCTGAGCTCAAGGGAATACCTTTCCAAAGCAGACTGCACCCCAATTTACACTCTTAGCAGAGACACTGAGGGCTAGGCTCCCTGCATTCTTGCCTACACTGCCTTCAATTTGAGTCCATTTGATGAGGAGCTAGTATCTCATCATGTTTCAGCTTGAACTTTCCTGAATGCCAAGGAGGTCGAGAATATTCTCTTGTGTTTATTATCAGCCTTTCTGGTGAATTGCCTGTTCGTATTCTTTGTCCATTTTACCAATGGTTGGCCTTGTTTGTGGAGACTTTCGTTAGGCAATTTTATTTAAAAATTCCCCTTCCGTCTCTTAAAAATTCCTTCTTATAAAACAAAACAAGACGAAAGGAAGCCACAGGTTGATTTGGGGGTGGCAGCTCCAGGCAAACCCCACCTGCCAGCCTCCAGCTGCCACTCCTTGAGCGCTGGCTCCCAGCGGTGGCCCGAAACGAGAGCGGCCCTGCGCAGGTGGGATGGGAGGCTCAGTGGCCGCGGCCCCGCCCCAGGTGCGCCCAGTTCCCCATCAGCATCTCCAGGCCCTGTGGGGGCAGGGCGTGCAAGAGGGATCAAGCACCTCAGCACCCAGCATTTTGTCACAGGACCTGAGACCCAGAGACGTCAGTGGACTCGCCCGAGGTCACACAGGAGTGGGTGGCCGAGCTGGGGCTTCGGCACCCGAGGCAGGCCGCCATCAGCAGCTCAGAGCCTCCCAGCCCAATCAGGGGCTAATTGGAGTGGTGGGGCCGGGCTTCGGATACATAAGGGGATCGGGCCGGGCCGGCAGCCTCATGCCTGGGGAGGGCTCCAGCTACCTGCACCTGTGTTCGCATCTACCGGCGCAATGGCTCCCGGGAGCATTGCCTCCAGTGACACCTCAACCTCCTCCGCATCCTTGACCTCCACAGCGGGGTCATCTGGGTTGTCTGACTCTGAAAAGCCAGGTAGGCAGAGGGAGGCAGCTGTCTGAGCCCGAGTGCCCTGGACGTCCTGGACCCCCCTCGCGCCGCCCTGCCCCCTCCCCTGGCCCCGGCGCCCACCCTGGAAGCCGATGGAGTTTTCACCTGCTCGTGGGGCGCAGGGACTGCTGCCCCAGGGAGCCGGGCACGGCCTGGGGGCTGACGCTGACCCAACTCCCAGGAGGGCGGGAGGGCGGGCAGAGTGGCAGCCTCCCAGCTGGAGCCCGTTTCCTGCCGGTGGGGAGGGCCTGCGGCCAGGCTGAGGCTGCAGGGCAGCTAGCTAGAGGGACCGTGCATTTGATGCAAGCCTGGGCCTTGAATTTAGGGCTGCATCCCAATTTTCAATCAACAAACAACGCCTTAGGGGTTCTCTGGATATAAATAGGTTCATTCCCTCCGGGAGCTCCGAGTCTGATGGGCAAGACTGCCTCACTGACAGATGCCGTCTGATCATAGGGCCTGAGCCTTAACACCAGGAATACAGAGGGCTGTAGGAGCCCAGAGGAGTTGCCGTCCCACTCTGGGAGATCAAGGAAGGCTTCCTGGAAGAGGTGACCCTGAAGGAGGGTTACACCTCACCCAGGACGAGAGGGTGAAGCAGGGGAAGAGTCTGAGTGTAGTAAATGCTCCTTCAGAGGTAAAGTTGGAGGGCGGAGTGCAGGTGCAGAGTTGCTCGTCCCGGCTTGGGAAATCAGGGCGGTGTATAAATCATGGTGCTCTGTGGGCCTTGATGCGAGAGCTACCTGGCGACTGCAGGGGATGAAGGCTAACCAGGCAGGAGGAAGAGCATGGGCAAAGGCCCAGAGGCGAGGCGGCTGGGGAGCACCAGGGAGTCGCAAGCCCTCCTCTGGTCGAGGGAAGTGGCATCACAGGAAGGGGGAGCCTCCAGGGCCTCAGCCAGGGCCTTGGGCCCTTACACTGAAGGCAATGGGGAGGTGAGGGATATGAGGAAGAGTGGGAAGAAGGCTGGGGCCCTCGGGGTGGCGGAGGGAGAAGCTCACAAGGAAGGGGTGGAGGGGTGTGGGGGTGAAGGGGAGGGGAGGTGCAGGATGCCCTCCAGGTTCTTGCTTGTGTGTCTGGGTAGGTATGGTGGGGGTCATTCCTGGGAGAGAGGAGATGGAGGGCGAGGTTGGGGAAGCTGTGACTTCTGGTCATCCCAAGACCCAGCAGGCCCTGAATGATGCATAATGAGGAACTGAATTCAGCCTCAGGGACTGGGGAGAGAGGAGACTCAGGCTCCCTAGGACAGGGCCTGGTTCGGGGGAGGCCGAGGAGGGGTTAGAACACTCCCCACGGGCCAGGCTGGAGGACCCTGTAGCTGGGAGGGTGCCGACTTCCTTAGAGACTCTATCCCCACTATACAGATGGGAAGACTGAAGCCAGGAGAGGAGAGTAAAACTCCCAACGTCCTGCGTGTGGCTGACCAGGCCCATTCACGAGCTTTGGCCCCAAAGTGAATATTCCCAGACACTGAGCTCTTCCTGGCCAGGAGGCAGCAGTAGTTGAATTGGATTAGGTCTCTACCTGTACTTGAGATGAGTCTCTGGGTGGGTTACTTTTTTTTTCCCTACTTCGAAATGTGTTTGGGGGAAAATTATATATATATAAAATTATATATATATTATATCATATTATATATATAATTTTATATATATGTGTGTGTGTGTGTTTAACTAATTGATTCCCTTTAAAAAGTCTTTAATTTTTGCAAATTGATCAGAAACCAACATTTCTAATCACATTTAAATCAAGTTTCATATTTAAACCAGTTTTATGCACCTTACTGTGACTGACAGCTTCAAGGATCCTATTTTCTTTTGCAGCTTAAAATATAGCAGCCAACTGAGATATCTCCATAATTCATGTAACATACAATTCACCCATTTAAAGGGTACAGTGTCTGTTAGTATATTCACTGCCGTGTGCTCCTCTCCACGGGCAATTCTAGAATATTTTAATGCCCTTAAAAAGAAAACCTGTGCCCATCACAGTTCTGCCCCTCCCCACCCACCAACCCCAGTCCCTGGGGTTTTATCTAATTGCTTTCTGTCTTGTGATTGTCTCATTCGGGACATTTCCTATACATGAAATCCTATAATAGGTGACTCTTTGTGGCTGGATTCTTGCACCCAACATGTTTCCGAGGAAGTACTTCATTCCTCCTTTTGGCCGGATAATATTCTACTTTATGGTTCATACTGTGCTCTGTTTATCCAGTTCATTTATTTATGGACATTTGGATTGTTACTACTTTTTGGCTATTGTGAATAATGTCGTTAAGAACATTTGTGTACAAATCTGAGCATTTGAGCATACCTTTTCATTTCTCTGGAGTATACGTACCTAGAAGTGGAATTCTCTTAGAGCTTTGTATTTATGAAAACTTTCAAATGCATGCAAAAGTAGACGGAGTGGTAGAGAGGCTCCCACCCACCACCCACCCCACTCCCATCCCTACGTGCACATCTCCGGCTTTGACACTCACCAGTTCATGGCTACTCCATCGCTTCACCTACTGTGTTATTTCAAAGCAAATGCCAGGCTTACCATTTCCTCTGTAAATAGTCCAGCATTTATCTCGAGTTTTTTTTAAAACAATTTTTAATTGATATAATCTATTCGTTATAGGTGTGTAAACTATTATATGCATTATGAAGTGCTTACCATGAGACATGTAATTATCCTCTGTCACCATGCAAAGTTATTACAGTATTATTGACCATATTTTCTATGCTGCACATTAGATCCCCATGATTTATTTATTCCATAACTGGCAGTCTGTGCCTCTTAATCCCCTTCACCTGTTTCATCCATTTCCCTACTCCTCTCTGGCAACCACCAGTTTGTTCTCTGTATGTGAATCTGTTTCCATTTTGTTTTGCTGGTTCATTTTTTTATATTCCACATGTAAGTGAATTAATACAGTCTTTATCATTCTCTGACTTCTTTCACTTAGTGTAATACCTTCTAGGTCCATCTATGTTGTTGCAAATGACAAGATCAGGGCTGAGTAATATTCCACTGTATCTATATACTGTATCTTCTTGAATCCGTTGTCTAATCATGGAAGTGGGTTGCTTCCATATCTTGACTATTGTAAATAATGCTACAATGAACATAGGGATGCATGTATCTTTCTGAACTAGTGTTTTTGTTTTCTTTAGACACATAGGTGGAATAACTTTTGAGGAACCTCCATACTGTTTTCCATAGTGGCTGCACCAGTTTGCATTCCCGACAGCAGTGTGTGGTAGTTTCTTTTTCTCCACATCTTTGCCAACACTTATCTTTAATTTTAGCCATTCTGACCAGTGTGAGGTGCTGTCTCACTGTGGTTTTGATTTGCATTTCCCTGATGATCAGTGATGTTGAGCATCTTTTCATGTTGGCCATTTGTAGATCATTGGAGAAAAGGTCTGTTCAAATTCTCTGCCGTTTTTTAATCAAATTGGGGGTTTCTTTGTTAGTGAGTTGTGGGAATTCTTTATATATTTTGGATATTAACCCCTTACCAGGCATATCACTGGCAAATATCTTCTCCCTTCCAGTAGGCTGCCTTCTCATTTTGTGATGTATCCTTCACTGTGCAAAGCTTTTTAATTTAATGTAGTCTCAATAGTTTATTTTTGCTTCTGCTGCCTTCAGTATTTACCTTTAAAAGATAAAAGCCTCTTAGAAAGTAATTGCAATGCCATCAGCAAACCTGAAAAATATCATCCTTAATATCCCCAAATATTTCCAATGTTCACATTTATCTAATTGCAATTTTTTCCCCAGTTGGAGCCTTTAAGTCCTGTTCTGAGTTTGAGCAAAGGATCCCACATTGCATTTGGCTGAAAGAGCTCTTCACTCTCTTGCATCCCAAGAGCCTTCCCGCTTTTTCTTTTCCTCCTTGTTTATTTGTAGAAGAGCCCAGGCTGTGTGTCCCGGATTGCTCCTCACAGCCTGGGCTTGCTGGTTTCCTCTCTGGGGCCCTCTCACAGAGCCCCTGGATTTCCTGTAAACTGGTAGTTAGATTTAGACAACTGACCTGACAGATTCTGATTTCTAAAAGGACGAATTCCTCCCGTGAATCCTCACGGAGCCCCTGGTGTGTGCCCAGCCCAGCGCCCGTCATGGGGAGACCATGTCCTGACAAGTAGCGTGCCCTGTTCTCGAGCCTCACCGGCTGGCGGGTACTAATGCCGACTAGGGGGCTGTGTGTGACCCCCAGGCCCCTTGCCTACCCACTGTGGGGCCCGCCTGGGGGCTGGGGGCGCCCTGCCAGGCCCGTGTGTTGCTGACTGGGACCGAGGGTGGCCCGGCCAGGGTGACGCCTGGCTGTCCACCCGCAGGCCCGAGCCGTAGTGGCGTCCGAGGGCCACGCCGTCACCCTCCTGTGCTGCGCATGGTTCTGGAGGCGCTGCAGGCCGGAGAGCAGCGCCGGGGCACCTCGGTGGCGGCCATCAAGGTTTTCATCCTGCAGAAGTACCCGACGGTGGACGTCCTACGGCTCAAGTACCTGCTGAAGCAGGCCCTGGCCACCGGCATGCACCGCGGCCTCCTGGTCAGGCCCGCCAACTCCAAGGCCAGGGGGGCCACTGGCAGCTTCAAAGTGAGCCTTCTGGGGCCGGGGTTGGGGCTAAGGGAGGCCCCCGGGGGTGCTTCGGTCCCGCCGCCTCCTTCCTGGCCTCCCCCTGCCCAGAGGCCTTCAGCCTCCTGTCTTCTCTTCGTGTCTCTCCTGTGTCTTCTCAGAGGTTCCTCCTCCTCCAGGAAGGCTAGGGCTGCGCCCCATCTGAGACCCCCGCAGGGCCTCAGTGCCCCGCTGCGTCCACCTTCGTCCCCCGGCAGGTGTGTTCGGTGGCCAGGGGCCATCTCAGCTGTTACTTTCTGGGTCCTTGGTGCCCACAGCCCCTTCCTGGAATTCTTCACCACGGACAAGGGACACCCAGCCATGGGCTCCGGATGGTCACTGTCGGGTGTGTTCCCCACGCTCACTGGCTCAAACCCCCAGGCCTCCAAACCAGGGCTGGCACCTCCCTGGGCCCTCACCTCTTTCAAAGGTCCTGGAGGGGAGCCGTCCAGGCACACCCAGAGCTGAGGGCAGATTTGGCACAAAATCGAGCCCCAGGATGGTGCCCATCAGCTGCCACCAGGAAAACCTCAGGGACCCAGACGTGGGGTCTGTCTTGTCATTGCTGGGCCCCAGCACGTGGCAGTTGCTCTAACAGTAACTGGAACACTGGAATATCCTCAGCCTACCATGTCCCAGTCACTGTGGGTGGCTGAGGACAGGAAGTCCCTCATAGAACTCTCGAGTGGAGGTCAGAGCTTGGACACAAGCCATGCCAAGGCCAGGTGCATAGGGTGTGGGGAAGGGGAGCTAGCAAGGGGCACTGTGGGTACAGGTGGCTGGGCTAGGCTGCAGGGCCTGGGAGCCAGTCAGGAAAGTGGGCTGAGGGAGGGGAGGCAGGGAAGGGAGTCTGGTGTGTCACGTAGTTAGGAATGTGTGTGTGCCGGGAGGCGATTTGTTTCTGGTCTTCATGGTAATGAGGAGCCATAAGATTTGGGGGGCAGAGGGAGCAGTGTCCTTAGAGGCGACCTCTAGAAGGACAGAGACCACCTGTTTGCCAAGGGCCCTCCCATCTGCCTGCTGCTCGCTCACTCCCTGAAGTCCCCATTGTAAAGATGGGAAGACGGAGGCCAGTGGGAGAAGACAAGACTAGGCTGAGTTGCACAGGAAGTTACAAACTGAGTTATCAAGGACTTGGAAGGTCCACCCAAGGGGGAGAAATTTGGAAGAGGCAGGGAGGCACGGAGGTGTGAGGCGCGAGGTGGGGGACGGGAAGCAGTCGGAGCCCCAGCGCATGGGGAAAGTGTGTGGGTTCGGAGGTCATTGGAGATTCGTAAGTTAGCATCTCAGAGGCCTGGGGGTCATGGGCGCTGGGCGATTTCCTCCCGGGAGCCTGGCTTTGAGACTTGCAGGCACAGGGTAGGGAGCCTGCCTGTGCTCTCCTGATGGCCGCCTGCGCAGGAGGGGAGAAGACTCCGGTCCCCCAGCTCCTAAGTGGCAACACCCCTCCCTCGAACGGCAATACAGGGATAGAACGTGTCTTTGGCTTGAGGCGTTTGGGAGGTGGTCATGCATCTGCTCTCTGTGCTCTCCGCCTTCTCTGCCCCCTCCCTCTTTTGGAACCAGGCCTTCCTCTCTGAGCCACACGTGGGCTGTAGGGGTGAGACCCCAAGAACCCCTGCTCTCATTCCACCCTGTCCTCTCCTCTACCAGTTAGTTCCCAAGCACAAAAGAAAAGTCCAACCCAGGAAGACCTCCACCATGACAGCCACCAGGAGACCCGGTGAGGCCAAGGAGAAGGGTCACAAGAAACCAAGGGAGGCAAAGAAGGACACCCCCAACTCGGGCGAGATGAAAAAGGGACTCAGGAAGGCAAGAGAGGCGATGATGGGTCCTACCAAACCAGCCAAGGAGAAGGCTCCCAAGAAGGGCAGCCAGACCAAAGACCAGGAGGCAAAACTGAGTGAGGCCAAGAAGGCCTCCCAACAGCCAGACAAGGCTACACAGGCCCTTCCCAGCGCCACTGGCCCGAGAGGAAAGTCAAAGGTCACAGGCAGAAGGAGCAACCAAGGTAGGTATGTGAGTGGGCTGCGAGGAGGGCCTGGGGATAGGGATTTGTGGCAGCCATTGGATGGGAGGTAGGATGGAGGGAGAGACCTGCTCTGCGGAGGGGATTCCTTGTCTAGTAAGTGTGCCTCGAGTGCTTGCCTTCACTGGGAGAGTTGGAGAACCCATGGTAGCTGTGGAGGGTAGGCTTAGGGAAAGGAGAACCCAGAGAGAGGAGGAGCCTGACTCCTCTAAGAGGAATCAGGGGAAGCTTCCTGGAGGAGGTGTCCAAGGGAGGACAACAGGCTGTGCAAAGGCCCAGAGGCATGGAGAAGGTAGAGCTTTTGAGGAAGTGTGTATAGTTCTGTGTGCTGTGTGAGGAGCAGAATGGGGAGCACGTGAAGGGCGGCTGGGAGTGTGGACTGTGCCCAGAGGGCAATGGAGAGCCATGGAAGGACTTGAATGGGGAACAGCTAGGGTACAGAGTATTTTTAATGAATTTATTTATTTGCTTATTTTAAAAAACGTGTTTTAAACAGAGACAGAACGCCAGCAGGGGAGGGACAGAGAGAGAGGGAGACACAGAATCTGAAGCAGGTTCTGGGCTCTACGCTGTCAGCACAGAGCCCGATGCAGGGCTCGAACCCACGAACCAGGATATCGTGATCTGAGCTGAAGTCAGACACTTAAACTGACTGGGCCCCCCAGGCGCCCCCAGGGTATCTTAAAAAAAAAAAAAAAAAAAAAACTATCACAGCCGCCCTGTGGAAGACAGGCTAAAGACTAGAGGCCAATAAAGACCTGTCAGGGGTTTTCATTGTGGGTGAGTGCAGAGCAGGGGGTGTCCCCCGGCTGCCTTGCTGAGGGCGAGAGATGGTCTTCCCTCGTTCCCTCACCCCCCCACCCCATCCCTCAAGAGATGCTGTCGTCGCTAGTTTGCAGGCTAGAGTACCTCGGCCACGCCCCTGGCCCCAGGTCCCATGTTCTGTATGCGTCAGAGTGCGGGCTGGGGCCCCTGCAGCGTCCTGCCCACGGCAGCTCCTCCTGAAAGGGTCCTTCCCACACGCCCTCCCTCCCTCTCTGACAGATGGCGAGGCCCACGGGAAAATGAAAGCTGGGAGCTGGAGTTCAAAATCCACGGTCCCCCAGGTAGGTGCCCGCGTGACTTTCCTGGTCTGGGCATCCCTCCTCTCCCCCCGAGCCCCTGGAGGGGACGGTGGGGCAGGGGCTGACTTTTGTACAAAGGACAGGTACTGTTGTACTTCTGCCCGGCCCCCCAGTGCTCTGAGGACCACCACCCCCGTGCACAAGTAAGAGACAGGCTTAGCGGGGTGGGGTCCCTTGTCTAAAGCCACTGGGAGCTGGGATCTCAGCCCTATTCTCGTGGGTTCTGAGCTCTGTGTGAACCCTGCCCAACTCTCGTCTTGCTCCTGGTTTGCGTTCTCATAGGACAAGAATACTGCTGCGCCATCGGCCAAAAAGAAAGAAAACAAGGTCCTGAAGGAAGTTGTGGCCCGTGGGGCCAAGGCTGCTGCTCTTCCTGGGGCCGGTGGGTCTAAGACCGCGTCCGCACCCCTGGTCAGGAGGACAGAGGCCCCCAAGGGCCCTAGAAGGCCGGGCATGCCCACCAAGGCCTCGTCGTCCAAATTGGCCAGTAAGAAAACAGAAGCTGAAAGCTAGAGCTGGGGTGGAAAAAGGCTGAAATTCTGCTGGAGTTTTTATTCCCCAACACACCTTCACTCTATTTATTTCATTGTAACCTATTTATCAATAAAGGCTTTTTTCCCTCACAAATCGGTGTGGGGAGAGGCTGAGGTCCAGGGATTTGGCCGTCTGTGGCTCAGGCCCACATCGGAACTCCTGCCCTGCAAGGAGACCGGTTGCACAACGTCAAGGGTCCAAGGCAGGTAGGGGCCTGTGGAGGCACGGGAAGGGTGTTAAACCCAGCCTGAGACCTGGAACTGCTTCCTGGAGGAGGCAGCTTTTGGTCTTCAGGACAAGCAGGAGACAGCTGAGGGAAAGGACGCTGCAGGCAGAGGACCCAGCATGTGAGGTGGGGCTGGACGGTGCGGCGGCGGGAGGGGGTTTTGGCTCTGAGAGGAGCGTGAGGTAGGGGTGAGGGGGGAGGGTTGGGGCAGACGAGGAAAGGTAGACTTTCTCTTGGGGGCGGTGGGGTGCCAGGGAGGAGACTAATGTGTGTGTTTAGAAGGAGCCCTCTGGCTGCAGAGAGAAGGCTTAGAGCTGCTGAGAGAGGCCGGGGACCATTCGATGAGCAGCCGGGCCCTGCTCAAATCAGCAGGGGGAGGAGAGAAGCGGTTCCCTGCAGTGGGGACATAGCTGACACGCTCCGGGAGGTCCACGTGGCTCCAGTCCAATGGGGGGGGGGGGGTGGCAGTAACGGGAGATGAGGCCCAGGGTGCTGTGACAACATCTGTGAGACTCTTCCCACGCAGAGGCGGAGTCTGGTCCCTGCCCCTTAAATCTGGGCCCTGTGATTGCTTGAACAGTTGAATACAGTGGAGAGGACATTATGACAGTTTCTGGGCCCTACCTTAAGGGATGGCAGCTTCTACTTTCTGTGTGTAGTGTTGGCTTTGGTAATTGCTCTTAGAATGCCACCACCATGCTGTGGGGGAGCCCAAGCCGCCAGTGGAAAGGAACAGAAGCAGCCCAGTCCTCAGCCCCAGCCGCACTCCCTGACCCGCTGGCCGGCCACAGGAGCGTGCTCCCTTGGGATGGGAACTTCTGGCTGTAGTTAGCTGCCTCGGTTGACCCCATGGCCAAACCCTATCCCGACTGGAGATGCTCAGGCAACAGACGGTAGGGCCCCCTTATCTGCCGTTTTGCTCTGTGTGGTTTCAGTCACCTGTGGTCAACCATGCCCCAGAGTCGGGAGATCTTTCTGACGTATTATCTGAAGGTCGGGAGTAGTCGAACGCTCCGTCAGGGTGCCTACGTCATTCGGCTGACTTCATGTCCCCACATAGGCATTTTGCCATCTCTCATCATCACGAGAAGCACAGTACAAGAAGTTATTTTGAGAGACAACATTCACATAATTATGTTATTAAATATAATATACAGTATATTATTGTAATTGCTCTGTTACTACTTGATCCCTTACTGTGCCTACTTTACAAGTTCATCAAGGGTATGCCTGTCTAGGAAGATATGTAATATATTCAGGGTTGGCAACTGTGCAGTTTCAGGCATCCAGTGGCAGTCTTGCCATGTGTCCCCCACGGAGAAGGAAGAACTACTGTACATGCTGTTGTTTTAAGCCACTGGGCATTGGGGTGGTTTGTTACGCAGCAGTAGATAACCATGACCAGGACTGCAGGGTAGAGCAGGGTTAGATCGGGAAGGGCCTTGTAAACCAGGGCAAGAACTTTGGATTTCGTCGGCTTTTGCTCTAATTGTGAGGAGGAGCCTTTAGAGGGCACTGAGCAGGAGAGTGCAGGGGACATGGGCAGCAGTGGGAGGCCAGCAAGGAGGCCCCCGCAGCAGGGGTCCAGGTGAGGGGGGCTTAGCAGTGGTGGATTCTGGGTAAACATTGAAGCAGGCTGGATGGAATGTGCTGAAGGATTGGATGTAAGAAAGGGGTCACTGTGGGGCGCCTGGGTGGCTCAGTCGGTTAAGCGTCCGACTTCAGCTCAGGTCATGATCTCACAGTTCGTGGGTTCAAGCCCCGCATCGAGCTCTGTGCTGACTGCCAGCTCAGAGCCTGGGGCCTGCTTCACATTCTGTGTCTCCCTCTCTCTCTGACCCTCCCCTGCTCACGCTGTCTCTCTCTCTCTCTCTCTCTCTCTCTCTCTCTGTCAGAAATAAATAAAACACAAAAATTTTTTTAAAAATTTAAAAAAGAAAGGGGTCACTGAGTCTGCAGTCTGGGGTCCACAGAGCCTGGTGACTCCACAGTGACCATTTCCCTGGGTGAGGACTTGGTTTGGGCAGGAGGCTGCTGAGAGGTGGTCCAGTCAAGGGGTGACCACTGAGCCCAGGCAGGGCAGAGAAAGAATGGGTGAATTAGAAGGAAGGAGTAGGTAAACTGGACAGGACTTGGGAGAGAGGGCAGTTGGGATTCAAAGGGAAACCAAGGCAGGCCAGCATCGGGGCATGGGGCAGCTCTCTTCCTGCCTGTGCAAAACCCTACCCTCGCTTCCTCGAATCCCCCATGCAGCTTTTTCTAGCCGCGCCAACAGCTTCCCTGGGTATCTGTAGTGTGGCTGCCAGTGGGGCCCCGAGGGTACGGTGAGCAGATGGCAGGGGCTGGGCCGGCACTTGGTTGGGGAGGGTCTGCTCGTGCCTCTGCTCCTTTCACGGTTGGCAGGGGGTTGTGGGAGGCACCCAGCCAGACTCTGGGGCTGCATTCCAGGGCCTCACCCCTCCATGAGCAAGGAGCGCCTTCATGCTCCTGGCCTGGCAGAGGCCGGACGGCCTCCAGCACCCACCAGACACGGGTGAGTCTCCTCCCTGCTCGAGGACCCTGCGCCGACGCTGTCTGCTTCCCACGACCCTCGGACAGCAAAGGGACGCCAGACGCTGCAAAGCAAGTCTTCAGGGCCCCAGATAAGAACTGTGTGGGTGATTCACAGAAGTCGTCCACCTGCTGTATTGAGAAACAACCCCAGAGGGGTGCCTGGGTGGCTCAGCTGGTTAAGCATCTGACTTTGACTCAGGTCATGATCTCGCAGTTCTTGGGTTCGAGCCCCGCGTCAGGCTCTGTGCTGACAGCTCGGAGCCTGGAGCCTGCTTTGGATTCTGTGTCTCCCTCTCTCTCTCTGACCCTCCCCCGCTCACGCTCTGTGTCTCTCCCTCTCAAAAATAAATAAACATTAAAAAAAAAAAAAAACAGAAACCAGAGATTTCCTCCATGCGCAAATGTGTTGCGAAACTTCAAGAAGGAGTTGCATGTTAATCAGGCATGAAAACAGGCTGCAGAATATTTAATGACACAGAAAGATGTTACTGACATATTGCACAAAATGGTGTGTACACCCTGGTCTCGAATTTTACCCAGCCCCCGACCCAGGCAGGCGCACAATCTGGACCGACATTCTCTGAGACGTTGACCTTGGGTGGGTTCGCATAGCTTTATTTTCTAAGTGCTTTTTGTACTTCCTGACATTTCTGCAGGAAGCCTGGATTCGTTCTCAAATCACACCCAGAAAAAAAAAAAATCTCTATCAAATATGTCAATAACTTAAATTAGAAAATCTGCTTAATAAAAAGGAATCAGTGCTCAGAATAGAAAATTTGAAAAGATAAAGAATCTGTCCCCACCCAGAAGCCAGGACAGGAGAAGGCTATTTTTAAAGCTAAAAATTGTTTATTTTTCTTTTCTCACTTCTCTTCTCTCATTAATTCTAGAACTGGTATTTGTGGGATTTTGTTTCAATTGTATGAATTTTTCTGTCCTAGTTCTGATTCTTGATAAACGTATGCTTAGTTCCCCCCATTATGATGGAAAAATAATGAACTGAGTAGCTTCAAATTTGGAGCTAGTTCACTAATGACCTCTTCCTGGGGGGTGGCATGAAGCCCCACCCCACCCCGGCCCCGGGCCTGGAGCCAGCTGGGAGGGCTGGGGCTTCTGGGTCAGTGCTGACCACCAGGAGGAACAGCTTGCCCCGGGCTACACCGGCCTTGAGGAAGCTGCATCTGTCCTCACATGAAACAACGACGAGATATTCAAGGGGCATGTGTAAACATCAGCTGTCTTCCTGGGACGCTCACCTTGACCTCCCCACACATTTGGGGTTCACTGTGGAGACCGTATGGAGGAAGCACAAAAGAGAAGAATGAGGAGGCCATGCAACCTGGTTTGTGTCCACACTTGGCTGTTCCCTGGTTACATGACCTCGGTGCCAGGTCGGCGGGGGGGGGGGGGGGGGGGGGGGGGGGGGGGGGGGAATATTCTGTACCTCACGGGCCTGTTATAAAGGTAAGTAGGAGCACGACCTGCACAGGGGTAGGTGGCACATAACAGCTATGACATCTTCCTGGAGGTCCCGTGGGCCAGGCCCAGGGCCAGCAGACATTGTCCCACTGAGCCCTGCTGGGGCCTTCCCAGAACTAAGTCAGGTGTCTGCCCAGCCTCGTCAGGAGGAAGGCCGAGTCAGGGCTCTAAACCTGGCTGCCCCCTCCTTTTTACTACAAGCGCACACTTCCGCCTCGGCCGTCTCAGGATGAAGGCTGGAGCCCACGGCAGGTTTTCCCATCAGGCTTTTATTATAAAGAAGGTTCCAGAGCTTCCCAGCCCCCCTTCAGCCCAGCCCCCATGGGCTCAGGGCCAGTCGCAGTGCTGGCCAGGTGTGCCGCAGGGGAGCTGGGCCAGCCACGGGGGGTCGCTTCTGACAGGAACAGAGTGGGTGACATTTTTCAGGCCCTTGGGGGGGGGGTCTCCGCCAGGTCTGCCTGTCCTCTGGAACAGTCATTTCCAGTGTTGTGTGGGGAGCCCCTGGGGACCCCTCCCCGGGTCCTCTGCACAAGCGGCAGCTATTCACAGTTGGCGCGTGAGAAGTTTTTTAATATATAAAAGCTTTAAAAAAAAAAAGTGGTGCTATCTTTAGAAACACTTCCAGCAAGATCACGTAGCCCAGCTACAGCCTTGGTGCAACTCAGCCCCCTCCCCGCCCTCCAGCCCCTGTCCCCTTGTCCTCGGCCACCCCCGCTGGTGC